CGTACTGCACAACGGGGCCTTTGTGGGGCCTTTCAGGGGGGCCCGCCGAGCCAGGAGCGGGGCCTGGTAGCTTACGAGCAGAAGGTAACCTGACTTCACTGTCCAGCGGCACACAGCACACCCCGGCACAGCACAAACCTGAGAAGCGACGTGGGGCCCCCGATGCTGATAAAGAGGCCGGTCCCCCTGATGGAAGATTAAGTAATAAGTACTGGTATGGAGTCAATACTGGGCTGTGGGCCAGTGGGGACAGCTGGGGAGAGTGAGAATCCCAATTATTGGAATCTGAAAAGGAACTCACCACGGCTTGAATGACTCACGCTTCAGAGAGAAATCTTTCTTTAAAGGTGCAGCGCCCACCTGTTGTTTTGCTCGGCCAGCATCCACTCCCCTGTCTTTGGGACAGCACCTCCAGCTTGCTCGTTTCTCCACTTGCACTGCATGGGGTTCTGACTATATGCTGATCAATCCCTTCCCCAGCCCCTGGCCCTCACCCCAACCTCCAATGGCTTCTGGGTTCCAGTTTCAGCTCCATTGTTTACCAGATATGTAACTAACCCAGGGTTAGTCAGAAAATCTCAATCATTTCATCTGACAGCTGTGAGCCCTACCTAAGCCACCGGCTGTCAGGGGACCCAGAAAGACACACTGTATAAGTCTCTGTACTGTAAGCCTGAGGTCTAGGCAAGGCTGGGCTTTTCTTCCCTGACATATAAATCCTCTGATAGCAGGACCCAGGGAAGGTGATCACTACCAGCAATGAGAGCTCAGAGAAATTAAAGGACTGACATAAAAACACACAGCCTCTAAAGAGGGGACCTGTGACTTGGTCAAGTCCTCGGAACTTAGACCCTGTAGCACGTGGCCACATCATGCTCCCTCACGCCATTAATAAGCCCCTTCTCTGTTACTTGGGACAATGGAGAGGATATCAAAAAAAGAACGCCCAAAAGTCACTGCTTCTTGTCTACTGCAGCCCAAAAGGATTGGTGGCATCTTATGTAGATGATCACCTTGGACGTGCAGCTGCACAGAGGCTTATTTCAGGAGCCTTCGCTCTGATGCACACAGAACTCCAACATGCACATTCCAGCAAGAGGAGAGGCTGGTATTGGTGCTGGGTGCGTGCCCAGGTTCGTGGCACCCTGCTCACATAACCCCACTGCTTCGCGCTCGGGCAGTGCAGGACCCAGCTAAGAGCGAGCAGAGCACCAGTATTTACCGTTGCCACAGGGCAGAACGCTGGCCAGCGTGGAGAGAAGCCGTGGCTGGCCTCTGCGAAAGACAAATATCTGCTTTACAGAACACGAAGTCCCTGCCTCTGGGTGAGGAGACCAGGTGGGGAAGGGATATGGAAGCCACTAGAAGCCTGGCCTCGAGAGGCTGCTCCCAAAGCTGTCTGCTCGCTAGGGGACCAGAGGAAAGCGCCCCCGTCTTCCTGGAGGTGCCATGCTCCGCCACGGCAGATACTAACCTGCACAGAGCCTACGAGAATTTAAGCCAAGTATAATCTTTTTTTAACCGTAAGACAAAGTTTATCATAATTTTTTTTAAAGTTAGAATCTACTTTCATTTACACAAGTTTTACTACTAATACCACAAGTAAAGCCCCTTCCTTTTTGTCCTTAATTTACCACAAGTTGAGCCACTTCTCTTTTTTGTACAACCTAACATATATGTGTACACACAAACATACATGCATATGGACACCCACATAATGACAGACTCAAGGTAACCTTACAATTATATTTATTTCAGTGCATCTAGTGCCTTTCTTTGACCTCTAAAGTTACCAAAATTGTATATAACTATCCTTAAAAATATTTAGAACTCTGTCACATCTCCCTGGACTTAGAAACTGATTAGTTAACAAACACCAACCGCCAAGGTACGTACTTGCAACAGGATTGGCATCTGGGCTGCCTACAGCACAAGAATCCTCAAGTCCCGGGCTCCTCTCTCCCTTCTCTGAAGGCCAGTTGCATGCGCCCTCTGGGCCTCATCCTCTTGCGTGTGGAACGGCCCTAGAACTACCCACGAGTGGTTTCGTGTCATAATATATGAGTGTCTAGGACAGGGCCGGGCAAAGTAGCCCTCAAAACCCGCTGTACTGATTTGATTGGGCGCAGCAATACAGGCTGGCTTCCAAGTGGAGTGTCTGGGATTCTCCAGGTGAAAGGACCATGGTGGGCGCTGAAAGGTGGATACCGGCCCCCAAGAGACTACAGCTTTATC